GGCGGCGGCGAAGCAGACGGCGTCCGCCGTGAGGGTCACTGCCTGCATCTGGTAGAGGAGCCAAAGCGCCCGCTGCCATTCATATGCCTTCTCGCAGCCGCTGATGGCTGCAGCATAGGTAAAGCAGTCGCCCACAGCATCCAAGGGGCGCAGGGCACGCTGCCATTGACCTGCTTGCCCGCAAGCACTGGCCAACGCATTGAATACGATTGCGTTGGGAGAGAGAACGTTCCGGCACATGCCGGCGACAAGTTCAACGGCCAGTGACCAAGAGTCTCGACAGGCAGCTAGAGCAGCGCTGCAAGTATAAGAGTCCTTCTGCAGTGCTGAGACGGACATGCTCCGCAACATTTCCGATGCCTGGAGCCATCGGAGTGCCTTTTGATAGGCAGATAGGGCAGAGTTATACGTCAGAGCCGATGCCTTCAGTCGTTCGCTTCCGATGCCTTGAAGAGAACCGAGGGCAAAGCGCCACTGAGGGGCCTCAAAGGTGGTCATGGCCGCGTGGTAAGTGACAAGCGAAGCACGGAGCGAAGCACGGAGGGTCATTGATAGGCCCATCAGGCTTGAGGCGCGCTGCCACTTGCCCGCGCATCTGCTGATGGCGGAATCATAGCTGACCACGTCTGGTTGCAACGCGTGCCATGGCATGGCTGCTACTACTTCCAGCGCTCTTTGCCAGCTGACCCGTCCACAGGAGATGGCACAGTTCCAGGCAACCACATCAGCACGGAGGGAATCGGTCCGCATCTGTCCCAGCAGGAACCATGACCTTCTCCATTGGTCTGCTCGGCCGCTGGCATCCAGGCAGGTGGTGAAACTGATATGGTCTGGTTGCACAAGACTGCACCGCATTTCCTTCAAGGCACTCTGTCCCAGCTCCCAGTTGCCCACCTTGCTCCAGGAAGACAGCATGCTGTTGAACGCAACTCCTTCTTTGTCGCTGTCCCTGAACAAGTTGGCACTCCGCTGCCACAGAGGCCCTACCGCTGCCATTGCAGCATTCTGGCTGACAGCATCAGCACCCACAAGATGCACCGACATTCGGAGCAGCAAGTCCAGTGCAGACTGCCACAGAGGCCCCTGGCAAGTCGAGATGGCGGTGTTGTAGTGGTAGACATTGGCTTCGATCGTCGCTGCGCGCATAGAAAGAAGCACGCCTGATAGGTCTGCTCCATGCCCAGCCAGCCTCTTCAGCGCCGCAGTGACGGCACGGGGATCGTCTCCCAGGCCCAGTCCGTAAGTGCGATTTCGCACGTCAGTGGACATCTCGGCAATCCAGGTCGCTGAGCGGCTGGACAGGTACTGGGTTCGCGAGAGCTTCAGAGCTGTCAGGGCCTCATTGCCTTGACTGCCTTGCGGAAGGAACGTGGCCCCCGTGTTGCTAGCCAGGCGGCCGGAGCAGACGCATGGCCCAATCGTCGCATGAGCTTGCGTCAGCACAAGGCATGGTCCCGGCTGGCAGTGGCATGCAGAGGTTCGAGCCGGCTGTCTTCGGAACAAGCAGCGCATGGAAGATCTGAGCACGAGTTGTTGCTGGTCGCGTGTCTCTCTTCTTTTCCTGGTCAGCTGCGAACACAAGTGCCAGGGTGGCAGGGAGGCGAATCGCGCTGACCTCACTTCCCCTCCCTTCCCTCCTGTCTCTGCCCTTCCCCTTCCCCTTCCTCTTCCTGCCTTGCTGCCCTTTGGGAGCAGGGCCGCACCACCTTCGGTGTACATTCTCCATCGCCGATACAAGAACCGTGCCAAAGGAGCTCGTGCCTGTGCCACCTGAAGACAGTCCTGCAGATCCGGCGGCAGTGCATCACGGGCCTCTGAGACGCAAGTAAAGGTCGCTAGCCCAGGCCGAGCTCTGAGGCTCAGAGGCCCACCTCGAACTCTTCTCCGCGCAAGGCTTGCGAGCGGAAGGCGAGATGGTACCTGCGACATCTGCACGACTTGTGTATTTGATGCATTCACGGCCGACCGACGCACCGGTGCAAAAATATCCGCTGGCACCAATCCTGATCACCAGAGTAGGTCTCGGCTGTGGAATACAGACCTTACCGTGGCAGTGCTGCTTCGAAGGAGCTGTGCAACAGGTTCCGCCTGCGTCTGAGCCACCATCGCTGACAGTCGCGTGACCCACATGGGCGGTGTGAACTCGGATCTGATGTTTTCGCCCCGTTCCAATCCGTATAGCCATGAAGGAGAGCGCACGTCCCATGTGTATCGAGTGCAGTAAGACCTTGAGGTGTGTCTGGGAGTTCTCGCCGGCAGTCACACGGCTTGGGGAGTCCTTTTTGGAACCGGTATCAGCCCAGGCAACTGAAGCACGAATCGTCCCACGGTCACTGCACCAGCCGTGTGACTGGACAGCATAGTCCCGGGTTAACATACCCGCGGACAATTGAAATTGAAGATCGTAGTAAGCGGAGAAAGTGGAGGCGACGAGGATCATCCCGGAGCTTGGCACATCCAAACGATGTAGGAAGCCTCTCTGGTGGGACTCGTCGTAGTGAATTGGCATGTTGCAGAGCTTCTGCACATACCGGGAAAGGGGTAGACCGGAAGCGTCCCCAGACTCGTCGACCTCGACACAAGGTGAATAGCTGCAGCAGCAGCAGTACATCAAACAAGACACTCACGACTCACGCCTGCCATCCAGGTGGTTTGTGCACCACCAGCCCTTAGATTCCCCGAGTTCCAAGACAAAAGCGAAGCAAAGGACGGACAGCTGCCAAGCATCGGTCGGGTAATTGAAGCACGACTCGAGGCGCCTGCATCTCCGGAGCTAGTGGGTCAAGGCGTCCAGTCGAGGCCGAGGACGAGGACGAGGGCAAGTGGGCCACGCTATCAAGGCTGCGTGCCACATGCTGGAGGGCTTTCCAAACCGCGGGGAGGCTGCGGAGCTGTAGGCAGCCCACAAAGCTTGAGGCCCAAAGTACTTCCAGCATATCGGTGCTGGAACTGATTGCCTCTCTGCCTCTGAGGACGGTCACCCGGCTGGCAAGCTCCCTTTGTAAAGCATAGAAAACCTCGCACAGCGAGGTTTGCGACCTCAACGGCGCCGAGGCAAAAGACCAGCACAAGGTCGCCAGCGCCCGCAGCGGCAGCCGCCGCTCCTCCCGGCTCCCTCGTGGCCTCTCCCTCTCTTGCCCCCGACGCTTCAAGAATGC